GATAGATAGATAGATAGATAGATAGATAGATAGATAGATAGATAGATGCAAAGGAAAAAGAAAGAGAAATATAGTTAATAGGCAGGCAGAGACAGAGAGATAGGTAGATATAGATGATAGATATAGATAATAGACAGAAAAAGATACAGATAATAGGTAGGCACAGAGAGAGAGAGAGATTAGATAGATAGATAGACAGACAAAGAGAAAGAGAGATGTAGATAATTGGTAGGCAGAGACAGATAGATAGAGATAGACAGACAGACAGACAGACCAAGTAAAGAAAGAGAAAAGAAAGAAAAAGAGAGAAAAGGAAGGAAATAATTACAATGAGCGCTCCAAGCTAAGCATTCCAGGGAGATTCTTCATTTTGATTAACAGCCTTTATCCCGACCTGCATTGAGTTGGATTACCCAGCCTCAGCATTCTTGCTCCTGACCACTTCTAAGCCTTCTGGTGCAGTTGTTTGTCTTCTCCCTGGGATCTGCTTTTCAAAAATTTGAGTGCCGTCCTTGGGTCGCCCGATGCTTTGATGTTCCTCTCGTCCAGCCCTCGTTGTTTGAAAGAGAGAAGCGTTGCCTTCCTGCCGCACTGATTCAACCCCCGCTTCTCAGCAAGCCTTATTGGGCACCCTGGAGTTTACTTATTTCTTTTTATTTATTCATTTGTAAAATGGATCTTAACCCCCTGGTAGCTCTGGACAGCTCACTTGTGGGTAGATGGAGGGAGTCTTGCACTTGTCAAAGACATGGACAGCTTTAAGGGGCTAATAGATGACCTCTTGCCAGAAGCAGCCACCTCAACGAGTTGTTTGTTTATTTACTTAGTTATTCCTATTTTTTATTTCCTTTAGGCTGAACTGAATGAATTGAGGAGCACCATCATAAATCTACTGGATCCACCTCCTGAAGTGTCAGCCCTGATCAACAAGCTGGATTTCGCCATGTCTACTTACCTGCTTTCCGTCTATCGCCTAGAATGCATGAGGTATTGCTTGACATGCCGCCTCAGGGGTGGCGGAGATGCTTGGTGCACCTTACATCACTCACCTGGGGCAAGAGGGGAAGAAATATTTATGCTCGTGTAACTCTGTGTCAAGGAAGAGCAGGCTGGTTTCAGCCTCCCCAAAGTCGCAGTGTTCCTTTTGAGTTAAAACGGCTCTCCCATTTCAGCCGTGGTACAGGTGGTCCTTGACTTACGACCACAGTTGAGCCCAAAATTTCCATTGCTAAGCGGGACAGTTAAGTGAGTTTTGCCTCATTTTACAACCTTTCTTGCCTCGGTTGTTCAGTGAATCATGGCAGTTGGTAAGTTAGTAACAGGATTGTTAAGAGAGATGATAGATTAGAGAGAGAGAGAGGGAGAGGGAGATGGCAATAGCATTTAGACTGATATATCTATGGATGTGTGTATGTAGATAGATGGAGGTAGGTAGATAGGTAGGTAGATGTAGATAGTTGATAGATACTATGGATGGATAGATAGATAGATAGATAGATAGATAGATAGATAGATAGATAGATAGATAGATAGATAGATAGATAGATAGATAGATAGATAGACAGATAGACAGACCGATTTATAAAAATTCTTTTTCAAGTATATCTTGATGAAATTAACTCCCAATTCCTGGTCTACTAGGGTTCTACGTTCAACAGACCCAGATCGTTTCCAAGTCATGTTTTATTACTTTGAGGATAAAGCTATCCAGAAAGACAAATCAGGTAAGGCTACTCCGATTCTGCAATCCTTAAATCAGGTGTGAATCTCTTGCAGGATAAATACATGATTCCAAGTCATCTCGTGATGGGATTTTTTTGCATAATTGTTTGGATGCAAATAAGTAAGCAAATCCATGAGTGGGTTGTTGTTTTTACAACTTACGAGAGATGCTATCTGCTGGGCACAATTTTCAGCTGCCTGAGTCCTTTGATTTTTTTATTTTTCTCAAACTCACCGCCGCTTCCTCTCTTTCAGGTATGATGCAGTGCGTGGTAGCCGTTGCAGATAAGGTGTTCGAAGCTTTCCTTAGCATGATGGCAGACAAAGTAAGTTTGTCAAACGAGAATGTACACTGCAGTTGTCATTTTGCTCAAAGGAACCATTGGGTGGTGTTTGCCAGCATCTCTTAGTACTGGATTTCACAGACCTCTGCTATTCCAGCTAAATTTCTCTATCTTTGCTTAGACATATCTCCCCAAACCCTAACAAGGGACTTTCTTCTTTTGATGTTTAGCCTAAAACGAAAGAAAATGAAGAAGAGCTGGAAAGACACGCTCAGTTCTTGCTGGTCAACTTTAACCACATTCATAAGCGAATAAGACGAGTTGCAGACAAATACTTATCGGGTCTCGTAGACAAGTAAGTACATTGCGATGGCTTGATGGCAGAGCGGATTTCATGTCTCCTAGTTTTGGAACAGCTTGCCTTTAGAAATTGTGGGTGCTCCAACACCGGAGGTTTTTGGACAGCCATTTATCTTGAAATGGTATAGGATCTCCTGCTTGAGGATGGAGTTGGTATAGAAGACCTCCAAGGTCCCTTCCAACTTTGGTATTCTGTAATTCTGTATTGGTGTTTCTCAGCTTTAGCAACTTCAAGATGTGTGGACTTCAGCTCCCAGAATTCTACAGCTAGCATGTAGATTACACGTGATAGATAGGTAGGTAGGTAGGTGGATGGATGGATGGATGGATGATAGGTTGGTGGATGGATGGATGGATGATAGGTAGGTTGGTGGATGGATGGATGATAGGTAGTTGGATGGATGGATCATAGGTTGGTGGATGGATTTGATGGATGGATGGATGGATGATAGGTAGATGATGGATGGATGGATGATAGGGAGATGATGGTTGGATGGATGGATGATAGGGAGATGATGGATGGATGATAGGAAGATGATGGATGGATGGATGATAGGGAGATGATGGTTGGATGGATGAATGATAGGGAGATGATGGATGGATGATAGGAAGATGATAGGTAGGTAGATGGATGGATAGATGGATGATAGGTAGGTAGATGAATGGATAGATGGATGATAGGTAGATGGATGATAGGTTAGATGGATGATAGGTTGGTGGATGGATGGATGATAGGTAGTTTGGTGGATGGATGGATGGATGGATGGATGATAGGTGGGTAGATGGATGGATGGATGGATGATAGGTAAATGGATGATAGGTTGGTGGATGGATGGATGGATGGATGGTTGGATGATAGGTAGTTTGGTGGATAGATGGATGGATGGATGGATGGATGATAGGTAGAGAGACAGACAGACAGATTCAACAAATTAAGTATCCAGTCCTTCTTTAGTTCACCATCAAGAAATTCCTTGATACCTTTAATGTTGGACTAAGGTTTAAATTAGTCGGTCAGCTACTAACGAGTGGCTGGGTTCTGGTGTCTCGCAGGTACGGATGTTTTTGTACGGACTCGTAACTTTTGGTTTGCCTTTTTCAAGGTTCCCTCACTTACTTTGGAGCGGAACGGTGCTGAAAACTATGCTAGATATTCTCCAGACTCTCTCCCTCTCTCTCAGCGCAGTAAGTGCTTCTCCAGCAATTGCAAGCAGAATAAAACCACAGCTGGCTTTGCTTTAAAAAAAAAAGAGACTTTTTTTCTTCTTTGTAATTTATGAGTGAACTGTCGGTCTGCAACTCTCGTATTAGGAATTAAATAGCTTAAGAATTCTTTTGGAATGATGGCATGATCACTTCACCTAACAAGAAACCTGAAATATGACCAAAGGGAACATATATTTAATTTAATCTATCTATAGAAAAGTGAAATACCACTCATGCGTCATCACAAAATCTCCAGAACCGTAAAGCCTACAGACTTGAAATGTGGCACATATGTTCCTCTTGGCTTCCAGGGGCTCACTAAGAAAAGATTTTTCGAAATGACCATCAGAGCATTCGCATTTCCTATATTATTAGTATTATTAACACGCTCTGATGCTAAGGAGTTCTACTCCCCTTCCCCGCCTGAAAAGAAATCTCTTCCAAATGCAAAACATAAGCAGAGGAGAGGAGTTTCAGCTTCAGTTTCAGTTTCACAGCAGCAACCAGCTTTAGTACAGAACAGTTGAGCTAAGCCACGCCCAGGCTCCTTACTGTCTCCTTGCTCACACAGCAAATACTGTTTCAGTTTCCAGACAGCCCTCAACTCTCACACACACTGACAGGATGCTAGCCAGATGAATACCGATGGATACTGGTAGGCAGAAGTAAATTTTTTCCCCTTATTTTCCTCCCCAAAATTTAAGCCCAATCAACGTAGTTTCGTAGCGAAGAACGGGTATCGAGCTAGTACTACATGTTTTGACAGCAGCGAGAATTATATTTGCACAACACTGGAAAAATGAGGATGTTCCTGCAGATGGAAATATAATCTTAAAAATATTAACTTGGGCGGAAATGGATAGGTTAACATTAAAGATAAAGGGCAAAGAAGACATGGAATATATATTTTTTTACCTGGAATTTGTTTTATCAATGGTTAGATAATAAAGGTACACATTAGAAGTTGGGAGAATACTATTATATACAAGTAAAAATATTATTCTTACTATTATTACTTTTATGTAAAATGACCTAGACAATACACTGGTTGCTAAACACATATATGTTAAAGAAAAATGTATATTTTTTTAAAAAAAAGGGGGAACCTGATTTGTGTGGGCATCCCTATTCCTGAATTATTAAATTGGTTTTCTCCTTAGGAATCACTTTGGAATAATATTGCACTATCTGTTTCTTTTCTGTTTTAGGATATCCATAAGGACCAACCGTATTATGACATTCCAGATGCCCCATATAGAATTACTGTCCCTGATACCTATGAAGCCAGAGAGGTAAAAATAATACAAATTTTGTACATGGGTTGGCCCATTGTCTTACGTCATGGTTTGCTTCGTTAAAATAAAGAGAATTCCTTAGGTTAACAAACTATTCCAAGCTGTGGCCTTTCTTTTGTAGGCCACAGGGGCAGGGTGTTGAGAAAAAATTGGTCTTCCTTATAATTTTCTGTGTCTATGGACAGACATCAACTTTGGAAATCCAGTTCTCTACTACACATATAATATCTGGGCTGAAGAACTCTGGATGGCCACTAGATGGCAGAAAAACCTAACCATTGCTATGATATAAACAACATCTGGATTTTTTTTGCAACCTAGTGATATGCTGCTTAAAGATACCAGGTTAGGATAGCAATAGCACTTGGACTTATATACCGCTTCACAGTGCTTTACAGCCCTCTCTCAGTGGTTTACAGAGTCAGCCTCTTGCCCCCAACAATTTGGGTCCTCATTTTATTGACCTCAGAAGGATGGAAGGCTGAGTCAACCTTGAGCCGGTCAGGTTCAAACTCCTGTCAGTGGGCAGAGTCAGTGTGGGTGACTTTGGGCCTGTCCCTCTCTCTCAAAAACTCTACGAATAAACCACTTCTAAAAACATTGCAAATCTGGGTAGATTTGTTCCATTAGTCGCCAATTATACATTGCAATGTCCTACCTGTCAATGAATACTTCAGCTTCAACCATAACAATACAAGAGCACACAATAGATACAAACTCAAGGTAAACCGCACCAAACTTGATGGCAGGAAATACGACTTCAGCAATAGAATGGTCCATGCCTGGAATACTCTACCTGACTCTGTGGTTTCTTCCCCAAACCCCAAAAACTCTAACCTTAGACTGTCTACTGTTGACCTCACCCCTTTCCTAAGTGGTCTGTAGGGAGTGTGCATAAGCGCACCAATGTGCCTATCGTCCCTGTCCTATTGTTTCTTTTTATTTTTCTTATATGTATCCATTTCATGTATTCATAATTATGTTTATACTTATACCTGTTATCTTATAATCGCTTGACAAAATAAAACAAATAAAAAAAAAAAAATAAGTAACTCTCAAAAACCAAGGCACATGTGTCCAGTGGAATATTGGCTTTATTATACTTTCGCAGTCAAGCACTTGCAAGACATTACTTTAATTCTATTTCTCTCTCTTTAGAGCATTGTGAAGGATTTTGCCGCCCGGTGTGGCATGATCCTCCAGGAAGCCATGAAATGGGCCCCTTCCGTCACCAAATCTCACCTGCAGGTAAATCTTCCACATCTTTATTGCCTCTCGGACTGCACTGCGTCTTGGAAATCGGGGAATCCGGCCAGGGGAAATGTGCAGAGCAAAGCAACGACACACACACACAGAAAGAGAGAATTTTTCTGAACTGCGACTGCTTTTGGCTTCCCCTTTTTCCAGGAATATTTGAACAAGCACCAGAACTGGGTGTCAGGCCTGTCACAGCACACTGGGTTGGCTATGGCAACCGAGAGCATTCTCCACTTTGCAGGCTACAACAGGCAAAATACAACCCTGGGGGTAAGTTCTCTTCACTGTGGCAAAAACGTCCTGTTTGTTGTGGTTGGCCAGCAGCCTGTGCAGACGGCAGTAGAATCACACAGTGGGGAAGAACGGGGACCAGTCTGGGATCTGGAGAGGACTCGGACGAGGGTCCTGCATCGAGTGTAGAGATGGGGCCAGGACCATCTGGGAGTGGGGTGCTGACTCCGGAGCCTTTGGAGTCTGGAAGCAGCGAGGCAGAAGAACAAGGGGAGCCTGTTCCCAGTGCGCATACGCACAGAGCTGCTAGACCGCAAGAGTAGCTGAGTCAAAAGGGGCGACTCGGGAGTAAGGCTTGGAGGTGATTGCCCCTCTCGTATGGTATAAAGGAAGTGCAAAGGTAGGAAAACCTTTGCAGGAAGCAAAGTTGCTTTCTCTGTTCGGATTCAACCTTGAAGCTCTGCGTGGATTTTGTACTTCGGTTGGTTTTTTATAGTTCATTTGGCACTTTAGTTCGCAGCGGTTTGAAGGAGAGAAAGGTGGGTGCTTATCTCGAGGGACTGTTTGGGACTATTACCGGCTGGAAATGAACATAATTCCCAGCATTGAAATAAAACAGTTGTTTGGATCGAAGCGTGTGTGCTTAATTATGGTCTCAGGAAGCTTTGATCAGAAAACTGTTTTTCAACTCCCACTTTTGTGGGAGTGGATTGTGTTCAGCCCCACAAAAATGAACTCCCCCCCCCCCCCCCCCCCCCGTTTGTAAGTACACAGTCTATGGAGTCCTTGGTGGCCTCTGAGCTTCCTGTTTTCTTACAAACGTTTCATGACCCAATTGAGGAATGTCATCAGTATTAGAAGGGAGGGAAACTGTGGGGTCCTTGGTGCTCCCTGACCTCGGTTGTTTTCTTGCAGACATTTCATGACCCAACTAGGTAACATCACCAGTGGTAGAAGGG